AAATAGCCTCTGGCTCTCTACTTTCACAGTAGTTCAATTTATAAGATGATGAAAAATGAATTAACTTTGGTGGTTTGCTGGCATCACCCACAGTGAGCCAGACTTTCCACATGCTCAAAGATCGTTCCTGGTCCACCACGCTTACATAAATTCCCACCTGGTTCAATTTTAAGAAAACAGCAGAACAAAGTTGGTCATACAAACTCCACCATAAAACACTGAGAAGAGTTAAACACCGATTAGTGGTACAGAGAGGTGCCATTTTTTATTTATGCTTCACTGAGCTATTTTAGGAAACATAAAACTTTTACTGTTCCTGTAACCAAACTAATTCTGTTGTGCTGTGTATATAAAATTTCTTTTTTTTTTCTTTCCCCTCCCCAGTGAAATGTATGATCCTACGGTGTGTGTTTTTGAGATGGGAATTTGAAGGGGAAAAATAAAAGCCCAAAGCAGTGCATTGCAGTGCAGTTATCATTAATGGGAAAAAATGCTTCAGGGTTTCCTGTGTTTTTACCACTGTACAATCTCAGTGTTGTATGATTTTAGCGCTATCCTGTTTTTCAGTCATTGAAGTTAGAAAAGTTTAAATGTGTTCAGCATGTACACCAAAGTGTCCCATGTGCTGTAAAATTTTCACCTAAGTGGCATGAATGGGACCCAATATACTTAATTGGTGAAAAAAGCTCTTTGCAGGAATGGAAAAACCTACTGATGTTGTGAAAATATCACGATCCATACTAAGGGACCTGAAAATCGAAACAGGAAAGATACACAGCTACAGGTTGCAGTCGTGTAAAGAAACTAAACCAGGTGACCAACCTTGCAAAACAACCAAATGGGAAAATCCTTGTAAAGGGCTGAGTTCCCAAAATGCTCTAGATCCCTGCAGGAAGTGACTGTGATAGTTTTAGTCCCTTAACCCTGATTACTCAGTAATGCATTTTTTAAAATGGGAAGCAGGCAAGTGTCTGAAGGAGTTTGGTTCAAACTTTGCAGAAACAACATTGTTGGCAAAATTAAGCATGAAATCTTTACACTGGCAAGGTAAACTTCTCGAAAACTGAATGCAAATCAGGTTTCACAGATGAAATTGTCTTTAATCTCAATTACAAACCAGTCACTTCCAGACATTCAAGCAGAGAAGGACAAGGAGTGACAGAGGTCGGATCCCTGGAAGTCCCTACACGTCACCTTTTAGCACAATGCCCGGTGCCTCCCAGCTCAGCCATGTGACTGTGCTGGGAGCAAACCCCTGGGAGCCCAGGAGGCACATGTGTCACAGCCCTTTGCCCACAGCAGGTCTTCCTTCTGTTCTTGGGAGCTAAAGCAGGTGCACACTGACAGACACCATCCCCTCTGGAGCGATGCCTTCCCTCGGGAACCAGCTCCATGCTCGCTGCACTCGCAAGCTCATCTAATAATTTTACACGTTTGCCTCCTGCATCGGTCCTGCCACCACCTTTCACTGTAGTTTCGAGAGAGAGGAGCTGCAATGGTTTCCCTAAACTGTTCCAGGCAGAAATGCTGAAAACTTTCCCACCAGAGTTGGAAACCTCTCCTTCAAAATAATCCAATTCCTTTCACTGAATATCTCTGCTAGGAGCAGAAATCCCTGCCAAGAGAAGCCCATCAGCTCTTTTGCAAAGTGGCTGTTGGGAGCCCCTGCTCCAGCGACAGGTCCCATACCTGGTGCTGTGGGGACCCGGTGGTGTTGGTGTGGTTGCAGGTGGCACCACAGAGGATGGGGAGCAGCTGCAACTGATGTACCTGAAGCTGCACTAAGGACAGGGCACCTTTAGAGAGCTGGGAGTGCAAACACCACAGAGAATTGAGCTTGGGTTTGCTCCATGGCAGGGTTTAAGAGGCTCTTGCTAAGGGCTGGCTGGGCTAAAGTGTCTCGAGCATATGGGCTTATTTTGTGCAGTTTCTGTGGTGGTTTCTTCGTTGGATTCTCAGTGGTAATGAGCCCACACAGTTGATTGCTGGAGGGAGAAAAAAATCATTCTGAATAGGTTTGCTGAATAATTATGAACTGAGCTGAACTCTTACATTTGCTTACTAATTGTATGGTCCGTGATGTTTTATGTATGATGCATTCATTTTGTTAAAAAGGAATTTTTTCTTTTTTTGCTGAACAGCAACTTTTCTCAGTGCAAGTTAAACTGACACAGTGGAAAGAACTGGATTAAAGTCTGATGAATTGATGTTGTTTGAATTATTTTTTTAAAAACATCAGCCCCACCATTTGGTTTTCAGAGCTTGCAATATGAAACCTAAAATTGTGCTATTGTCTTGAGAGTTGAAATAAATGAATCCCCTCAACTTTGGATTTGGCAGGCACAATTACTATTGTTAATTTAGAAAATAATCCCCTGCAGCTACAACTATTTAAATAATGCCTTTCCCTGCTTCCCTGAAGATGACCAAAACCCAAAGACTGAAAGTAAAAATGTTTTATAAAATACACTTTTCACTGCTCACTACAATCGAGAGGCTTCCTTCTCCTTGTCTGGGGACTGGGGCCCTTTGTGACGCAGGGGACCCGACAGTGCCGGGCCCAGGGCCACGCTCACGCCAGCGCTCCCAGCCCCGCGCTGGACAGCGGGAGCTGCGGGGCACGTTGGCAGCCCCAGGGCGAGCTTTAGCCCAGACCACATCCCAGGTTTGAAACAGGGGCTCAGTCGCCTTCCCACATCCAAGCTGGCAGAACTCTGCAGCGGGTGTCGGACCTCGCCATTCCAAGCAACTCATTGCTTTCACTGCCAGAATATTTAGGCTGAAATTATTTCCATATTTGCCACTGTCCAGTTATAGACACGGCCTGGCTCCCACTGAAGTCCGCAGAAGGAGTGGTGCTGGGGGAGCTGGGCCAAGCCATGGGTGGACAAGCCATCGGGATTTCTCTCTCCAGAGAGCCTGCGGCGGCCCTGGAGGGTGCGGCGCCCGTGCTCCGAGAAGAATCGGGGAGGCCGCTCCCGGCGTCTCCGCCGAGCCCGAGACGCCCCCCGTCTCCGTCCCTGTCCTTCCGCGGGAGGAACGCGCGGCACTCGGCCTGCCGTCGGGGCGGACCGGGGCTCTGCCCGGCGGGGGGCGGACCGGGAGCACGGACCGTGGGGCGGAGCGGGGACTCTGCCTGCCGTCTGGGCGGACGGGGGGAGCGGACCGGGGGAACGGACCCGACGCACGGACCGGGGTCTGTGCCCGGCGGGCGCGGCCGGGGCCGGGGCCGGGCGGGCGGCAGAGGGCGCTGTGCCCGTTCGGAAGAGCCGCTCCGACGGCGCGCACGCAGGCGCAGAGGGAGCCCCGGGCGCGGGGCCGCCCCTGCCCCGGAGCCGCCGTGGGTGTGGGGTCCGGGTGCGGAGCCCCGTCGGCTCCCTCCTTTCCTCACTTTCTCCTTCTCTCCGTGGCCACCGTCCCCGTAGCGACGGGCGAGACGTCCCCTTCGTTCCTTTGTGCCACGCGCGTGCTTCATTCTCCACCCCGGTGCCGGCCCCGCAGCCCGGGTCCCGCGCACTCTCCCCCCCCTTGTCACTTCGCTAAGTAATAATTTCCACGTCCAATTCCATTTCTTCGCCAGTTCTGAAATCTCCAGGCCATCAGCAAGGAGGATAGTTCACATGAAAACTAATTACACAAAATCAATATTTAATCACAGCGCAGCATCCTGATCCTGCAGAAAAAAAATCCCGTTAAAACTCTCCTGCCATATACAAACACTCCTCGGCCGCTTATTTATAGATCTCATTTTTTTTGGTGGGAGCAATTTTCATTACTATTTCTTTAAGCTATCGACATGTGCAGCCGCGAGCACATGAAGCGCCGCGTCCCGCCCGCGGTCGGTAACCCCCCGGGCCTGCGGGTGTTTGTCCCTCCGAGGGAACCGGGCTGTGACCCCCCGCTGCCGCAGCGCCCGCTCCCTGCGCGGCTCCAGGCGGTGCCCGGCTCGGGGCTGGCAGGGCCCTCCTGCTCCCGGCTCGGGGCTGCCGAGCGGGTTTCGGTCCCACCGGCCCGGGAGGGCAGTGCGGGCGGTGGGAGCGCGGCACCGGCAGCGCCTCCCCACTCCCGCCGCTCGGTCCCAGCTCCGGTGCCCCCCGTCCCGCTCTAGGACCCCGCTCCAGGACCCCGGCGCTCCGCGCGGCTCCCCGGCTGCCCCCGGTCCGTGCGCCACGGCAGCAGCAGCCCCGGGCACGGGGAGCTGCGCGGGGCGGTGCGGGGCGGGCGGGGCGCGGGGCCGGCGGCGGAGCCACCTTAACGGCAGCCCCGCCCCGGGCCGCGGCGCTCATTGGCGCAGCCCCGATGGCTGAAATTCATCGCTGAAATGCAAAACTTGTTGCTGCTCCTCCAGCGCCGGGTGAGAGCGCGGCAGCGCGCGGGGAGCGCGGCGCAGCCCTACCAGCGCCCGCCCGGCCCCGCGCCCCGGCCCCGCCGCCGCCGGAGCGCTGCGAGCCGCGGGAGCGCACGGCC